CCCTGCAGCCCACATCAGCTGCATCAAAGCGTGCAGCGCTTCGTGACCGGCCTGCGGGAGCGCCTGCAGCACCTCGTTGACAACCCCGTCAGGTCCCGGGGCCTTTCCACGCGCCAGTGTGCGCACGCATGCGTGGTAGGCCGCCACGTCCGCGACATTCTCGTGCAGCCAGCGCCGACGGCCTGGGCCTGTTTGGTCAGGGGCCAGGAGCTTGAACGCGTCTGTTTGGTTGGGCGCCTCAAATGGGTATTTCCTGGGTGCCTCTGCAGGCAGGTACTTCCCATTTTTGCTGTTGCGCGGGGCAGCCACCTTTTGGGACATGAAGTCTGTCACTATGCCTATAATCTCCTCAGGGTTGGTTGTGTTTTTGCCAGTGGTGGGGTTGTGCAGCACCCGCAGAGCTGCCTCGGGGCGCTCTCCAGCGGTGCCCAAGACTATCTTGTTGCCCACCCGGGGGCGTTGCGCCACCAGCTTAATCATCTGGTTTCTCCTAGCTGTGGCCTCATCCCGGGACTGCTCCTTGGACATGGCCTCCATCTCCTTTTTGAGTTTTGCATTGAGGGCAATCAGCTCCTCTCGTGTCGGCTTGTCTGGCCCCGCATGACTTGTTGGGTCGGGCGGGTGGGTCGCCCCTGCGCCCCCTTTCATGGCTGCGAGCGCCGAGAGCACCTCTGCTGGCAGCACGCTGCACGCACCCCGGTGGTGTTTTGCCAGCACCTTTCGCATTTCGGCCATGCGGCGCCACTGTTTCGCTGGCCCCCGCGGCTTGAAGTGTTTACCCCCAGGGTTGGTCATTTTTGTGGTGCAGGTGACTATGGCGAGCGCCTGTGCCTTTTGTAGAATGTCACACACCTTTGCTGACACCTGGTCAATCCATTGGTGTGCTGGTGCACCCTGGATGGTCGCCAGCCTGTGCCGTTCTCCAGGGTCCTTCTGCAGAAGGTACGCGTTGTGCGGGTCCAAATCTGAACGGCGCACGGTAGCCACCTGAGTCTCAGTCACACAACGCTGGTGCTTTACCGTACAATCCCATGAGCCTGGATGGCTTCAGGAGCGGGCGACCGCGGGACGCTGTAACAATCCTAATCCTAATCCTAATCCTAATCCTCATCGTTGTGCTTGACCCTTGTCAAAAATATCTTGCTGCCTTCTCGACTGTGCTGCAACCATCTTTTTGTTGAGAGTGAGCTGTCCCAACCCGTACATAGAAACGAAAGGTTCCAATGTATATAAAACACACACAAGCAACCCACATAACACCCATGCATTGCCCATACAGCGCCCATAGAGTGTCCATATAGCAACTATACAACGCCCATACGGCACCCATTCAGCACCCACACAGCACCCACACAGCGCCGATACAGCACCCATACAGCACCCATATATCAAATACACACTGGTCGCCGCCGCAACACCCATACATCATCCACACATCGTCCATACAACCCTTACAACACGCATACAGCACCCATACAACACCCATACAGCACCCACAATCAAAACACTCACAAGCAACCCACACAACACCCATACAGCACCCAAGCTGCACCAATATAGCGCCCATACAGCACCCATACAGCACCCACACAGCGCCCATACAACACCCACGGCAAACTGCGCCCATACAGAAACACACACAGAAGCGACCCGCACAACACCCTACAGCACCAATACAGCACCCCTGCCTACTGCACCCATAAATAAAATACACATTGTGTGACAGGCATTCAAGGGGCCATTGTTTGCCATACAGAAAACACACACAAGCAACCCACACAACACCCATACAGCACCCATACTGCACCCATACTATGGGCGCTGTAATACAGCGCCCATACATCGCCCATACTGCACCCACAAATTGATCAGACACTAGCAACCCACACACCACCCATACAGCACCCATACAACACCCACACACCACCCATAAAGCACCCATAAAGCACCCATACAGCGCCCACGCAACACCCATACTGCACTCATAAATCAATCGGACACTAGCAATTGCAACCCACACAACACCGGTTGCAACCCACACGACACCCATACAGCACCCATACAACACCCATACAGCACCCATAAGTCAATCAGACACTAGCAACCCGCACAACACCGATACATCACCCTTCAACGCCCATACTGCACCCATACAACACACATACAACACCCATACAGCACCCAAATCACACCCGAACTACACCCATATAGCACCCGTAAGCGCCCATGCTGCACCCATACAACACCCATAGGGATTAGGATTAGGATTGTTACACGATCCCGCGGTCGCCCGCTCCTGGAGCCAT